TTTCCCTATTTTCAGCACTTCTGAGACCACAGGTGGAATACTGGGTCCAGTTTGGGGTTTTCTCAATACAAGACACACATTGACAGTTACAAGGGATCTCCAGAGGTCCCTTCCAACCTAAATTAGTCCATGATTCTGCAAACGAGCAGCTGTGAAAGAAGTGGAAGAGAAAGAACACAGATTCTTTGAGCCAGGATTGTTGCTAAAGCCCTTGTGTTGTGAAAATACAGCCCCAGGTTCTCCAGAGCAGAGGAGTGTTAGCTTTCATATGCAGTAATTGATTACAAAACATTTCACTCCCTTCTCCAGGAGAAACTGAGCTGCTGCTAATTATGGAGATTACATCAAGAAAGATGAGCTAAAGGGAGGGAAGACAGGATTTCAATTTTAGAAAGACTGAAAAATCAGAGGTCTCACAAGAGAAATCTGAACAAACAGGTGGGAGACAGAAGCAGCAAACCTACTGCTCTAAATGGATAAGCCCAGCAGAGAGTCAATGGGATTTCATCTGCTCCTATCATTCTTAATTTTTTTTACACAATTAAACTCTATATTGCAATGAAATTTTTTGTCAGACCTCTGAAAAGTCTACCTGCATTGCAACTGCATAAAGAGGTTCATAAAAATTAGTGAATAAACAAAATAATTACTTACGAGTATGAAGGATTGACATTTGCCAGTTGCACAACTGGAGTTTTAACAGGTTCTACAGCAATCAGTATATCTTGTTCTATAGCCATAGGGAGCACAGCATAACCACAGTAGTCTATATGTTCTCCTACCAAAGAAACAGACAATTACAATATTTTTTAATAGTTCTTTCTAGAACAGCAGAAACAGGGCTTCTACAGGGGTTCAGTGTTGTTTACTGTATGAAAATATTTCTGATTATAGTCTCAACGACTTTTGGGGTGCATTTCCTCCATTTCATATTGCTGTACAAAAATTTTGGTTTTTTCTTTATTTTATCTATTACATCTGTTTATAAATCTTTGCATTTTAACATTGGATTATAAAAATTTTAGAAAACACTATGTGGATTATTGTCCAGCAATGAGAATGGCCATGTTATTTATACACTGTCGTGACAGTACAAAACATAAGTCAAATCGATCCAATCTAACTGACGACAGGAAAAGAAAAAGGCACCACATGACTCCTCATTGTGATCTCCTCTGCTCATGTAGACATGTCTCTATGGAAGAGTAAAGAAGAGAAGATGATGGTAGAATCGTTTCATGCTCTACCATATGCATTGCTCTATGGCTGGTTATATTTGTTAACTTAAATTATAATGGAAGATTTAAAAAAATATATTAATTTAACTTGTGGATGCACTGTTCATCAACTACTTTTGATTGGATCTCCAAACGCTTTCAAACAAATAGTATACAACCATAAGGTGGAAAGTTATTCCAATTTTCAAAACCATCACTACTGTCTACAGATTTTTTTTTCCAACGTTGATAAAGTTGAGTGTGCAGTTGTTTATAATAAGGTCTAGTAAAAGTTATTAGAGTATTACATTATATTTTCCATTTATCACAAGCAACACAATGGCAGATAAAATAACAAAAGATTACTTTTTCACTTTTACCTATTAAGTTGACTCGCCCTGGTGCACGAACATAGAACTTGGGAGCTGATCCAAATTTTGACATAAACCTCTCCTTCAGTTTCTGCAATCTGAAAGGCAGATTAGAAACATTTAGAAGGACTCTATTTGCATAAAAGGCAGGTAGTTTCACTGTTTCTTGAAATAAATTAGATTCAATTTTTTCAAGTATGTAGAGTTTTCTTTGTTACATCAGGAGTGCCATTAAGCTGCTTATTTTTGCTCTTCATATAACATTGATTGTGACAGAAGACTATTAAGAATATTATAATAAGAAATACTTATGTTCACTTGTCTGTGGCACTGGGATTTGCCACACACACAGAGGCACTCCCTTCAAAGTCTGACTGCACCAGGCCTGAGCAAGTTAATTTTCTTCTAGGTTTTCACTTTTATCAACTTCCATATTAGTCACTACCCCATTTCTGTACAAAAGTGTATGCAGAGACTAAAATTCCAAACCTCAGATGATCCCTGTGACTTACTGAGACAGTATTTACAGCAACAATTCCCAGAAAGTTCTGGTTTTCCATTTAGAGATGCTAGATGTGCCACTGAAAGTTCCAATGCTAAGAAAAATCTGGCATATTGCTTTGTTTTCTAAGACTGTAAAACTATCTAGCTTCCACCTTGTGTTTGCAAAGTTGGGATGCTTCAGCTTGTCATGCACAAGCAGTGGGTAAACAAAGACTGAGAAGAAATTAAGCTGTTGTCTTAGTGAACACAGAAAATTTGTTAGTGCTTCACTTCAAAACTACCTTAAATCAATGTAGGTTGCACACTGAGCCATTAACTTTCATTCATACAAGCAACAAACTAAAACAATGAATAGGCAGTAAGAATACAAGAAAAATAGTCTTTAAATTTGACTTAGAATATTCCCCCACTATACCCTGTTGGCTTTAACAGATGTAACTGATTAATTATTTTGGGGTTTTTTGTTTTGTTTTTTAGTCTACTAACAAAAAACCAGTGACAGGAACACTGTTAAGGTTACTACAATTAGTCTAAAACTAGAACTGGAAGCCTAGTTAATGCAAAGCATAAGTAAGAAGATAGCAACGAGAAACAGATGTTACAAAATTTCACAGTCAATTATTTCGTTTGTACTTCTTTGTAAAAGCTGTGTTACTGACCAACTACATATATTTGAATGTTTTGTAGAATTTATTTAGATGGAAAGCTAGTAAATATTATTTGTTGTGGTTTTTTTAAGCAGATCTTTCAGTACTTTTCCACCTCAGAACAAAGCTGTATCAGGTCCCTTTAGAATTTCCCCTTATAATCTCCCCTAGTATTGACTAGTTTATCACTCTTCCAACTAGCAGAAGCAATTTCTGCCATTTCACTGTACAATCCCTTTTCTAGATCGCACTAATAATATTACAGTCCATGGGGGAAATCTGTTGGCAGAATTCTAGGTGTTAACTTTATTCTTTTTGTGTAAGTATTTAGAATGCTGCTTTGTTTCACAGATATTTTTATAGTGGTGTTGGTACCAAGAGACTAAGAACAAACAGCAGTCATGAGGGCATGTTTATCTAAGTGCTGACTGATCTCTTTTTTAAATGTGGGTTTTACAAGCAGGCCTGATGAAAGGCTATTTACAGGCTTTGGCCTTGATGTTGCAACAGGCATGCAGCATTTTAAGCACCTACATCAAAGATGACTGTCAGAAGTGCTAAGCAAAGGCATCCCTCACAACTTCACACATCCAAGCCTGGAAATGCTGAACTCATCCTTTCCACATAACTTAAGACTGAAACGCAGTGCAGTCTGATGCAAGTAACAGAAGTTTTTTTTAAAAATACCCTTCTCCAGTGCTAACAAAGGTAAAAAAGGTTTGTTTGAACTGTTTTTGCGTTCCGTTTCCACACAACTCTGAGGAAAACGCATGCCACAGGCATACTGGCCCAGAGGCCTACGCTGTTCCAGGGCATTTCTCTCACAGCCGAAAGGACGAGAGGATAATCAGTATGCCCAGAATTCTGAAAAAAACACCTGTTAGGAGGAAAGCTGAATGAATGATTCCTCCTCCTGCCACACGGGCACGGTGTGAGAAGCACCAGGAGCTGTGCGGGGCGGG